GGCTCAGCGTCTGTGGCCAGGGCCCGGAATGTTCTCCAGGAGATACCGAGACCCTGCTGCTGCTGAGAGAACATGGAGCTGCCGAGGAGAGGAAAACAGCGTGTGTGTGTGTGTGTGTGTGTGTGTGTGTGTAGACAGGTGTGTGTTGTACATCACATCGCACTGTTGTCGGTTGCAACACACACACAGATAACAGAACCGGCCTGCAGGCTGGGGGCTGGGGCTGGGGGCTGGGGCTGGGGCTGGGGGCTGGGGCTGGGGCTGGGGCTGGGGCTGGGGGCTGCGGGCTGGGGCTGGGGCTGGGGGCTGGGGCTGGGGCTGGGGCTGGGGCTGGGGCTGGGGCTGGGGCTGCGGGCTGGGGCTGGGGGCTGTGGCCTGCAGGCTGGGGCTGGGGGCTGGGGCTGGGGCTGGGGCTGGGGGCTGTGGCCTGCAGGCTGGGGCTGGGGCTGGGGCTGGGGCTGGGGCTGGGGGCTGTGGCCTGCAGGCTGGGGCTGGGCTGAGGCTGGGGGCTGGGGACTGCGGGCTGGGGGCTGCGGGCTGGGGCTGGGGGCTGTGGCCTGCAGGCTGGGGCTGGGGCTGAGGCTGGGGGCTGGGGCTGGGGCTGGGGGCTGGGGCTGGGGCTGGTGGCTGGGGCTGGGGCTGGGGCTGGGGCTGGGGACTGAGGGCTGGGGGCTGGGGGCTGGAGCTGGGGGCTGGGGCTGGGGCTGGTGGCTGGGGCTGGGGGCTGGGGGCTGGGGCTGGGGCTGGGGCTGGGGCTGGGGCTGGGGCTGGGGCTGGGGCTGCGGGCTGGGGCTGGTGGCTGGGGCTGGGGCTGGGGCTGGGGCTGCGGGCGGCGCCGGGAGGCAGAGCCGGGGCCTGGGCGGGGACAGCGAGGACCAGCTCTCCGGTCCCTGGAGACCGCGATGACCCAGCTCTGCGGGCACTTGTCAGGACATGCTCCGTGGCCTTCTGTCCGCCATGGGACAGCCTGTTTTGTGTTTCATTTGGGGGACTGTCCTGTGAGCCCGAAGGAGACGCCGGGCGGTGCTGGGCGGCCCTGAGCGCCGGGCTGGCACTGCGGGGCGGGGGGTGCCCGGCGGACACGGCTGCAGCTCTGGAGAAGCAGGCGGGTCCCCTCCCTGGGTGCCAGCGGCCTCGGCCCCAGCAAAGCAGCTGCCCCCCTGCCCCCCCCCCCCCGCACTCAGAGGGCTCACCCCCCCCCCGCACTCAAAGGGCTCACCCCCCCCCCCCCCGCACTCAGAGGGCTCACCCCCCCCCCCGCACTCAGAGGGGCGCCGTGCAGGGGGAAGCCCAGGCGGCCCCGGGTGGTGGCCGAGGCGGGACCACCCCAGGCTCTCGGCACCGGCAGAGGCTGGGTCATTCCTCCTGATGCCGCCCAGGCCACCGAGGCCATTCTGTTCCTCACGCCAAGGGCACATCCCGGGGGATCCCCGTGTGACCCCGAAACACGGCCCCGCACCCAGGGCTCAGGGTGCCCATCACGACGGTGACCCCCCAAACCCTATCGGCTCCCCTCATCAAAGAAAGACACATGTCAGAGTGCTGGACGCGTGTGCATGTGTGTGTGCCTGCATGTGTGTATGTCCGTGTGTTTGTGGTTCTGTGTCCGTGTGTGCGCACAGTGTCTGCATGTCTGTCGTGTGTGCATGTCTCTGTGCGTGCGTGTGTGTATGTGTGTGGGTGTGTGTTTGTGGTTCTGTGTCCATGTGTGCTTGCAGTGTCTGCATGTCTATGACTGTGTGTGCATGTCTCTGTGTGTATGTGTGTGTGTTTGTGGTTCTGTGTCCATGTGTGTGGACAGTGTCTGCATGTCTGTGACTGTGTGTGCATGTCCCTGTGTGTGTGTGTGTGTGTGTGTGTTTGTGGTTCTGTGTCCGTGTGTGCGCACAGTGTCTGCATGTCTGTCGTGTGTGCATGTCTCTGTGCGTGCGTGTGTGTGTGTGTGTGTGTGTGTGTGTTTGTGGTTCTGTGTCCGTATGTGTGCACAGTGTCTGCATGTCTGTGACTGTGTGTGCATGTCCCTGTGTGTGCGTGTGTGTGTGCATGTGTGTGCATGTGTGTGGGTGTGTGGGTGTGGTTCTGTGTCCGTGTGTTGCATACATGGGCAGGAGGTGGCCCTGGGCCGCCTCGGGGACCCTGTGGATGGGAGGCGCAGGGGGGAGGGGGCGCTGAGCTCCGGAGCTGGGGTGGCCCAGGCTGGTCCCGAGCCGCATGCCCCTGCCCACTGCGCGCCCCTCCCCTCGGACCCTGCTCACACCCAGCAGCCCCTCCCTGGTCCCTGGTCCCCGTGTCCCCGCTCCCAGCACCCCCCACTCCGTCCCAGGTCCCCGCACCCAGCAGCCAGCTTGCACCCCCCTCACCCCCACCTCCGTGCCTCCAGGGCACCCCGCTGCCTGCAGACAAAACCCCACCTCTCACCCAGGGCCCGGGAAGGTCCGGGGCCAGCGGGGGGACCGGGAGCGGGAGGCCTGACAGGCGCCCCGAAAGGCACCGTCCACTGGGCCTCTAAAGCGCCTGCAGGCCCAGCCCCCAGGCCCGGCGGAGGGCGCCCAGGCCCGGCGGAGGGCGCCCAGGCCCGGCGGAGGGCGCCCAGAGGACGGGGGAGGGCGCCCAGAGGACGGCGGAGGGCGCCCAGGCCCGGCGGAGGGCGCCCAGGCCCGGCGGAGGGCGCCCAGAGGACGGCGGAGGGCGCCCAGAGGACGGCGGAGGGCGCCCAGGCCCGGCGGAGGGCGCCCAGAGGCCGGCGGAGGGCGCCCAGAGGCCGGCGGGGGACGCCCAGAGGACGGCGGAGGGCGCCTAGGCCCGGCGGAGGGCGCCCAGGCCCGGCGGAGGGCGCCCAGAGGCCGGCGGAGGGCGCCCAGAGGACGGCGGAGGGCGCCCAGGCCCGGCGGAGGGCGCCCAGAGGACGGGGGAGTCCGAGCCGCCGCCCACCCTGGCTCCGGCCGGCCTGACGCCCGCTGCTCCGGGGCCTCTGCCCCGCCCCCGGCGGCCGCCCCCGCACGCCGTGGCCCGGCCTGTGCCTGCCGTGGCCTCTGGCGGCCCGGCTTCGGGGTTGTAGGTCGGGGGTGCGATCACCCTCCCCGCGGGGCCCGGACACCGCCTCCTCACCGGCCTCGCCCGGGCCCCGCACCCCCGCCCCCCGCTCCGGGAGGAAGCGCCCTGAGCCCCCGGGGCCGCGTCCGGGGGACTGGCCCTCCCCACCGGCCCCGCCCAGGGACAGGACCGGCGGCCCTAAGGCAGCAGAGCCGGCGGCCTGAACAAAGCCCTGGGCCCTGCCGGTCAGTGGCTCCTCCTGGGCAGTGACCCCCCGACTCCTCAGACAGAGGGGCACCGGGGCTCGGGGTCTGACCGCAGTGAGGGCACAGAGCGGGGCTCAGCTGAGCCACTGGGGCCTCGTCCTGATCATCCTCCTCCCCCTCCTCCTCCTCCTCCTCCTCACGGGCCAGGAGCGGGGGTCCCTGTGACAGGCAGACCCCGTGTGGGCGCTGGCCTCAGACCCTCTGGGCTTCCTGACCCCCGAGCTCCCCTCCCCCAGGACCTGGAAAGGGGGGCTGAAGCCCGCAAGGGGGGAAGGGCTCCCCGAGTCACCTGTGAGACCCCAAACCCCGTGCTCTCTCCCTCTGGAGGGCAGGCTCCCGGCAGCCCCCAGCCCCTGCCCCTGCCCCCCCAGGTAAGAGTGTGTCACCCCGTCCCCGCCAGCCCCACACCCGCCCTCTGCAGCTGGAGGCAGGTGGCGGGGGGCAGGGAGAGTGGGCCCATGGGACCCCCCTCACAGGGGACTGTGGGTGCCCACCCTCCAGATCCCACCCTCAGGGACACCCCCTCTCCCTCCCGCCACCCTGTCCGGCAGCCGCTGTGCTCGGCCTGCACGGGAGCGGCCCCTCCCCCGCCCGCTGGCGCCTGGAGTCCGGGTACAGGGCTGACTCCGCCTGCGGCCAGGTGGACGGGAGCGGCCGGGGGATGGGCCGCTCGTGGGGGTGGGGCGGCTCGGCTGAGGGGAGAGGGGCCCACTCAGGGGGTGGGTGCCTCTCGGCTCAAGGGTGAGGGGCCCACTCATGGGGTGGGTGCCTCTCGGCTGAAGGGTGAGGGGCCCACTCATGGGGTGGGTGCCTCTCGGCTGAAGGGTGAGGGGCCCACTCATGGGGTGGGTGCCTCTCGGCTGAGGGGTGAGGGGCCCACTCATGGGGTGGGTGCCTCTCGGCTGAGGGGAGAGGGGCCCACTCATGGGGTGGGTGCCTCTCGGCTGAGGGGAGAGGGGCCCACTCATGGGGTGGGTGCCTCTCGGCTGAGGGGAGAGGGGCCCACTCATGGGGTGGGTGCCTCTCGGCTGAGGGGAGAGGGGCCCACTCATGGGGTGGGTGCCTCTCGGCTGAAGGGTGAGGGGCCCACTCATGGGGTGGGTGCCTCTCGGCTGAAGGGTGAGGGGCCCACTCATGGGGTGGGTGCCTCTCGGCTGAGGGGAGAGGGGCCCACTCATGGGGTGGGTGCCTCTCGGCTCAAGGGTGAGGGGCCCACTCATGGGGTGGGTGCCTCTCGGCTCAAGGGTGAGGGGCCCACTCATGGGGTGGGCATGCTCAGAGGGGCCGGGCCGGGCACTGTAGGATTAGCTGTGAGTTCATGTCCATCTCTGGAGTCCAGGGTGGACTCAGCCTTTGTCCCTGGGTGGGGGAGGGGTCATCGCCCCAAACTGTAAACTGCTGGCCGCCCAGCGTCCTCGGCCCCCCACCCCCTTCCCGCGGCAAGCCACCCGCGCGGTTCATGGTGAGACAAAGAGGGGCCCTTGGGAGCCAGGCTGGTGGGTCCTTCCTCAGAGCCGCTGCTCTGCCCTCCCCACCCGCCCTCCGGCCTGCGGGAGGCCAGCACCTCAGGGAGCAGTGGGGGCTCCGCTTTGTGTGTTTGGGGGGGACAAGTGGAGGGCCTGGGCTGCCCCCGGTGAGTATCTGTGCCCCCGCTGCCGGGCGGGGCTGAGTGGACGCACACACAAACGCACACACACACGATTTGCAGCAATTTTTTGGCCTCTTTATTGGGACCCAGCGGACAGGGGCCGGGCAGGTGTGCCGGCTCAGGACTTTTTCTCAGAGATGTCAGGTGTGGGGGATCAACTCAGAGAGAAAGAGAGAAAGAAAGAAAGAGACAGAGACAGACGGCGAGAGCTGGGGGGAGAGACTGCAAGCTAGGAGGGCGGCGCGCGGTGGGCGGCGCGCGGTGGCGGGCACGCGGGCCGGGCTGGTGGGCGCCCGCCCAGGGGGCCCCTGTGGGATGGATCTCTGGGGACCCCCGCCCCGGTGGTGGGTGCGTGCCTTAGCAAAGCCAGCGGCCAAGCTGCCGCGGGCAGAGCGGCCACGCCTGGACATAAATAGAAAATATAAGTTAGTATAAGTTTTTTTTTTTAACTTTTTTTTGTACAAATATACATTTTTATCCTTTTTTTCTCTTTTTTCATCATTTTTTGCGCTGAGTTTCAGCAGAGATTGAACCTTTTTTTATAAATGACTCTTAAAGCTTTCCACCTTGGGACCAGTGTACTCTTCGGTGCCGGCACGTTTGGGTGAGAAGTGACTAATACATTGCACGGCTGTCAGACTTTTACACAAAACCGATCGCTGCTCGCCAGCAGCTGCTATTGGCCGGTCTGGGGGCGGCGTGTCCTGTCCGCGGTCAGAGGGTCCCGGGCTCCTGGGGGAGAGGCTGCGGGCGGGAGAGAGAGGGAGAGAGTGAGCGGCCTGGGGACCCCGAGCCCGCCCCCGCGCCCCGACACCACTCACCTCATCTCATCCGCTTGCGCGGGGTCTGCTCGGCGGGGCCCACGCCGGGGCCGCCGCCAGGGGCGGAGCAGCCACCGCCGGGCCCCTCGTTGGCCTTGGCCTCGGGCGCGGAGCGCTTGCGCTTGGCGAAGAAGTCTGGGGGGACAGGGCGGGTCAGGGGGGCCCGGGGGGCCCCGGGGGGCCCCGCGGCGGACAAAGGGCGGGGCGCGGACTCACCGGAGATCAGAGGCCCGACCAGCAGCTTCTTCACGGCCGCGGCGCCTCCCGGGGCCCCGGGGGCGTTGGCGGCAGCGCCCAGAGCGGCCCCGGCGGCCCCGGCGGCGGGCACGGCGGCGGGGGCCGCGAGCACGGCCACGGCGGCCCCGGGCAGCGCCACGGGGACGATCACGGAGGCGCCCTGCGCCGGGCGCCCGGAGATCTGCGGCGGCTCGTCCTCGGGCTCGTCCTCCTCCTCGTCCTCCTCGGCCTCGGGCTCGGGCTCGGGCTCGGGCTCGGGCTCCGGGTCGCGCGGCGGCGGCGGGCCCGCCTCGGGCTCAGCGGTCTCCTGCGCGGCCTCGGGCGCCGGGGTCGGCGGGGGAGACACCTCGGGGTCGCCGTTGGGCGGCGCCGGGGCGTCCCCCGCAGCCTCGCCCGCGCCGTCGCGCGGCTCCTCGGCGGCCGGCGGCGCGGGGGCCGGCGGGGCGCCCGCGCCGTCCGGGCGGGGCCGGGGCGCCAGCAGCACGCGGCAGCGCCCCACCTGCACGGTCTCGCGGTAGAAGGCGGGCACCGACTCGCTGTCCACCTCGGTCCACTGCAGGCGGCCGGGGCCGCGCAGCGGCTCGTCGCGCTGGAAGTTGTAGTCCCAGCGGCGCTGGTCCTCGGCGCTCAGCTCGGCCAGGCGCGCCTGCAGCTCGCGGCTCAGCTGCTCGTGGTCCACCGGCCCGAAGAGGCGGCGGCAGGCGCTGCTGCGCGTCGCGGGCGGGTGGGCGCGGCGGGGCACCAGGCGCTCCATGCTGCGGGAGCTGCGGGGCACAGGGGCGGACAGGGCGGTCGGCGCGGGCGGGGCGGGCGGGGCGGGCGGGCGGGGAGCGGGGAGCGGGAGTCCGGGCGGGTACCTGGCGGACGGGCCGGGCAGGGCTCCGGAGTCGCTGGCGGTGAGGTCGGCTGGCGGCCGCGCCCCCTCGGTGGCTGTGGTCGCTCGCAGGGTGGCTCCGGGCTGGGCGGCAGCACCGAGCACAGAGCACTCGCCTGTGCAGCCCCGGCCCGCGCGCGCCCCTTTATACCCGCGGGCACCGCCCCCCGGCCCGCGGGGCCCCCCGTCATTTGCATAAAGTAGTATTTTCGGCTCCGACAACACGCACGCCATTGGTCGCGCCCTGCCCCCCCGCGCGCCCCTCCCCGCCCCGCGCGCCGCCCATTGGCCGGGGGCGCGCCTCTGCCCCCCCGCGGTGGGCGGGGCGCCGGGGCGGGCGGCCGGATTGGCGGGCGCGGGCGCGGGGGGCGGGGCCGAGGGAAAGGCGCTGCGGGCGGTAACGTGACACCCGCGCCCCGCCCCCTCGCCCCATCCCCCCCGCACCCCGCACCGCGCCGCCCCCGGGCTCCTTTGTCTGCAGGCGGGGCCGTCCCTCCGCGCCCCCCTCCGCCCTCCTGGCACCGCGGGCCCCGCGCCCGGCCCGCACCCATGGCCCCCGAGGGCGCCCGGCCGCAGCTGAGCGTCGCCCCGGGCACCCCGAGTCCGCTGTCGGGGCGCTGGTGCCGGCGGCAGCGAGGCGGGGTCCCCGGAGGGCCGCGCCCGCGGGCTGGGGTCCCCGGAGGGCCGCGCACCTGGGCCCTGGCACACCTGCCGGCCCTCGGCCCTGGGGCAGGAGGGGGAGCCGGAGGGAGGGAGGGAGGGCCCGCGCCCGTCTGTCTCCGAAACCGGGAGGCGCTGACTCCTGGAGTTCTGGCCCTGGGCACACCCCGAGCCCCGGGCTGAAGCCTCGAGGCCGTGGGGTCCCCCCAGCCCTGCCCAGCGGGTGGGAAACAGGCTCTGGATCTGTCACTGACCGGGTGGCACCTCTGAGGCCTGGGTCTGCCTGGGGCCACCGCGGGGTGGGCTATTGGACAGGGCAGGGCACCCCACCCCACCCTGCCACCCGCTCTGTCCGCACTGGAGCTGCACCCTCCTCCGAGCGGACAGAACGATAAAGACAGAACGACAGCCCCGCCGCCCAGGCCGGGATCACAGCCGCCCAGAGGGAGGACCGGCCGGACTGGCGCCCTCACCCCGGGGGAGGGGGGAGGGGGGAGGGGGGGCAGGTGTGCGGGCGGGCGGACAGACCGGGCGGCCCCTCCTGTGCCTGAGGCGCCCGCCCAGCACCCGTGAGCCTGTGACAGTGACCGCGGCAGCATGTGACACGGAGCCCTGCCCGGGGGCTGGAGGGACCCGCCCTGCAGGCCTCGCCCGTTTTACCGTTTTGCCAGGAAGGAGCCCGGGGGGCGACCCTCTCAGGCTGCCGGCTTCTCAGCTTATTTCTCTGGGCACCGTGGGACCCTCCTCTCTCAGCAGAGAGGTGACCCCCTCTTTGGTGAGACTCTGAATCGAATCAAGAGTGGCAGTCACCGGCTTACTGAACCTGCCGGTCCCGGGACGCGCTGGGCCCTCCCCGAAAGGCAGGGGCAGAGCCGGGGGGGCGGGGGGGGGCGTGAAGGCCACCCAGGGGCCCGGCAAGCAAACACCACACTGGACACAAACACTGCGCTCTCTTTTGTCATTAAAAGTGTGTGGGAAGGAAGCAAAGGGAATCCTGTCTGTGCTGGAGACGGTACCGCAGCCCGGCCAGGGTCCGAGCTCTCTGTGGGGCGTGACGGCCCTGCCGGCACCTGGCCCGTGCCCTCCTCACTCCCCCCCCCCCCACGGGAGTGGTGGGCGCGGGCGGGCCACAGCCCTCCTCCGGAGCTCCGAGAGGCCACGTGTGCGTCCCTCGGCCAAGAGGCGAGATCGCAAAACCTGAGCAGAGGGGCCCAGCGCCCCAGCCCTCCGCGGCCACCAGCAGCTCCCCCTCCTGGCCCCGGGGTGGCCGCGGTCCGGGGGAGCGAGGGACGGGGAGGCGGCTGGGACGCCCAGGAGCCCCGAGGACCGCCGAGCAGAGCGCGCACACCGCCTGCAGCCGGAGCAGAAACACACTTTTATTGCGTCTCGATCCGTTACGGACACACTTACTCTCATGTGACACGGCCCGGGGCCGGGAAGGCCCCTGTGGGGCGTCCTGCTCCCCGCGCCCGAGATGGCGGGATCCGCTCCCTTCTCAGCCTGAGACCCAGGTCCATCACCAGCCCGCGCCCAAGTGCTGGCTGCACCTTCCTGGCCGCACGCTGCCCCCTGGCGGCCGACTCCGCCGCGGCGCCTCTCGGAGCCCCCAAACCTCCCTTCGCCGGGGAGCCCTGCCAGGCTGCTCTGGAGACCCGCTGGGCTGCGACCCCCTCCTGGGCCCGGGACCCTGCGGGGTGTGTGTGTGTGTGTGTGTCTGTGTGTGTGTGTGTCTGTGTGTGTATCTGTGTGTGTCTGTGTGTGAGTGTGTGTGTGTCTGTGTGTCTGTGTGTGTCTCTGTGTGTATGTGTGGGTGTGTCTCTGTGTGTGTCTGTGTGTGTGTCTGTGAGTGTGTGTGTCTGTGTGTGTATCTGTGTGTGTCTGTGTGTGAGTGTGTGTGTGTCTGTGTGTCTGTGTGTGTCTCTGTGTGTATATGTGGGTGTGTCTCTGTGTGTGTCTGTGAATGTGTGTGTCTGTGTGTGTCTGTGAGTGTGTGTGTCTGTGTGTTTGTGTGAGTGCGTGTTGTGTGTCTCTGTGTGTATGTGTGGGTGTGTCTCTGTGTGTGTCTGTGTCTGTGTGTCTGTGAATGTGTGTGTCTGTGTCTGTGTGTGAGTGTGTGTGTCTGTGTGTGTGTGTATGTGTGTGTCTGTGTGTGTCTCTGTGTGTGTCTGTGTCTGTGAGTGTCTGTGAATGTGTGTGTGTGTGTATGTGAGTGTGTGTCTGTGTATGTGTGTGTGAGTGTATGTGTGTGTATGTGAGTGTGTCTGTGTGTGTGTTTGTGAGGGTGTATATGTATGAGTGTGTGTGTTTGTGTGTGTGCGTGTGTGTGTCTCTGTGTGTATGTGTGTCTCTGTGTGTGTCTGTGCCTGTGAGTGTCTGTGAGTGTGTGTGTGTCTGTGAGTGTGTGTGTCTGTGTGTGAGTGTGTGTGTCTGTGTGTGAGTGTGTGTATGTGTGTGTGAGTGTATGTGTGTGTGTCTGTGTGTGAGTGTGTGTATGTGTGTGTGAGTGTATGTGTGTGCATGTGAGTGTGTCTGTGTGTGTGTTTGTGAGGGTGTATATGTGTGTGTATGTATGTGTATGTATGTGTCTCTGTGTGTGTCTGTGTGTGTCTGTGTGTGTCTGTGTGTGTGTCTGTGAGTGTGTATGTGTGTGTCTGTGTGTGTGTGTGTGTGTGTGTGTGTGTGTGTGTGTGTGTGTGTGTGTGCACCCCAGCCAGGCAGCCTCTGACACCGTCCAGGCCATGCCGGTCTGCAGAGGCCTCACCATCACACGCACCTGGACACCCAGCCACCCGCCCCCGGACCCTCCGGACCCCCGGGGGAGGCGTTCGGGTGCCTGTTTGGTGGGGGAGGAACCGGAGTCCGGGCAGCTGGAGGGAGCAGGTCTGAGCCTCTCCCAGCCTGGAGCCCCGACTTCGAGGCCTGGGGGCCTGAACGCAGTAAGAACGTCAAGGGTCCCCGATAACCTCCCCCGGCAGCCCTGAGCCCCAGACCGGGCTGGGCATCCGGGGGCACAGCCCTGCCCAGGATGGCTGACCCCCGGCACCTCCCACCCGGATGGAGGGGACCAGGCTCCCCTCCTCCCCCCCCCCAGGCCTGGACCCGTACCCCTCCCCCCCTCCTCTCCCCCCAGGCCTGGACCTGTCCCCCTCCCCCCTCCTCTCCCCCCCTGGCCTGGACCTGACCCCCTCCCCCCATCCTCTTCCCCCCCAGGCCTGGACCTGTCCCCCTCCCCCCCTCCTCTCCCCCCCAGGCCTGAACCTGTCCCCCTCCCCCCTCCTCTTCCCCCCCAGGCCTGGACCTGTCCCCCTCCCCCCATCCTCTCCCCCCCAGTGGAGGGGCACCCACACGGCCTCAGAGGGCCACCCCGGCCTCCAGCCGCACCCCAGAGCGGGCCTTCCATAGGCCCCGGACTGCGGGCCCTCTGAGACCCCCCTGGGAAGGCCCCGGCCCCGGGCCCCCTTCTCCTCCCTGAAATGGGCCGGAGGCCCGCGGGGGGGGGAGTCACAGATTAACCAGCCGGCCCAGCGCCAGGCGGGCCGCTCCGAGCCCTCCCGCTCGCCAGCCCGCGGCGGGGGCTCTGCTTGGCCCGGGCCCAGCGTGGCCGGAGCCTCTCCCCCGGTTCCCGCGCTCAGCGCACCCGCCCCGGCCCTTCCCGGACAGCTGTTCCCGGCGGCTGCCAGGCACGTCCTCCACAGGTGCCGCCCGCCGCGGGGAGGCCGGCCTGGGCTCCGGTTACAGGGCGGCCTCCGCTGGGGTGCCTCCGGCTGGGGTGCCTCCGGCTGGGGTGCCTCCGGCTCGCCCCGATCGAGGGGCTGGGGGCGGGGCAGTGGGACCCAGCAGCCCTCCCTGCAGGGAGAGCGTCCCTGCCCCCGACCCTCCCACCCCCGCCCGGCTGCTGGCCTGGGTCTCCAGCGGGACCCCCCCCCCCCCGGCTGCTGGCCTGGGTCTCCCCAGCGGGACGCCCCCCCCCCCAGCTGCTGGCCTGGGTCTCCAGCGGGACCCCCCCCTCCCCCGGCTGCTGGCCTGGGTCTCCCCAGCGGGACCCCCCCTCCCCCGGCTGCTGGCCTGGGTCTCCCCAGCGGGACACCCCCCCCGGCTGCTGGCCTGGGTCTCCCCAGCGGGACACCCCCCCCAGCTGCTGGCCTGGGTCTCCCCAGCGGGACCCCCCCCCCGGCTGCTGGCCTGGGTCTCCCCAGCGGGGACGCCCCCCCGGCTGCTGGCCTGGGTCTCCAGTGGGGACCCTCCAGACTGGGTGGGAACGTCTCTGGGTTTAACGCTGACCGTCTCAGGAGGCCTGGACCCTGGTCCTCGCAGGCCGTCCAGGGCTGGGGCTGGCGCGGGCTCAGAGGAGGAACCCCCTCAGAGGCGGCATGGCCGGCTCTGAGCCACCGGCACCCCCACTTCCAGGCCCCTCCCCAGGCCCCTCACAGGGCAGGCTGGTGGGGCTGTGGGGGGCTCACTCTGCTGGGAAGCAAATGGGCCTGGGCCAGGCCGATGCCCCTTCCTGGACCTCACACCACTGCACCCCGACTTTCTGTCTGCTTT